ACAAACACACACATACACACACATGCACACATATATATACACACATGTACACATACATATACACACATGTACGTACACATACACACACATACACACACACACTTTCTTTTTTTGAGATGGGCTCTCGCTCGGCCTAGGCTGTTCCATATGTACCCAAGGACACCTTTGAACTCCTGATCCCCCTGCCTGTGTCTCTCAAGTGCTGACGCTACAGGTCACCTCTTGTGTATGTGGTGCTGGGCAGGGCTTCGTGAATGGAGGTGTTCTGCCAGTTGACTCATACCCAGCCCCAGCAGCCACAGTTCTAAGTCACAAGGTTTTGGTGGATGCAATCTCTCAGTACACAGCTGCCCAGCCACAGCAATCTGCTCTGATGTGGAAAGTGTCAAAGAGTTGAGTGAAGAAAATCAGTGGGCTCTTATTGAGTTTGTTTTTAATTTTATTTTATGTGCATCGGTGTTTTGCCTGTGTGTATGTGTACAGCATGTGTGGCTAGTGCCCCCGGAGGACAGAAGAATGTGCTGGACACCTGGAACTAGAGTTACAATGGTTGTGAGCCGCAAGGTGGGTGTTTGGAACCAAACCCTTTGAGTGATCTCTCCAGCCTCTTTGTGGGGTTGTTTGTTTGTTATGTTTGTTTTGTTTTTGTTTTTTGTTGTGTTTTTCTTTCTTTTTGGTATTTTGAGACAGGGTTTATCTCTGGTTGGTTCTTCCTTGAAATTAACCTGAATGATAAGACCTTGTTTTGTTTTTTAAAAAATAACATGTCCAGGATTAGAAAGTAGTGCCATTGACTCAGTGAAGCCCTGGGTTCGATCCCTACTGCAACACAGGTGCACAAATCCTAAGTATGTGCTTGTATATTTGTGGATCATGAGTGCATGTGTGTGTGTGTGTGTGTGTGTGTGTAGGAGACAGACAGAGACAGAGACAGAGACAGGAGAGACACACAGAGAGATAGCATCTACTGCGGAGTCTCCGGATACCCACCTCCCTCCTCCAGCCCCGCCCCCCAGGTCTTCTGTGACTGGTCCACGCATATACCCGGCTCTCCACAGTTTTTATCCACAGGCAAGACAGGCCAGAAGGCTTGGGCATCTCAGGCAGTAAGGGAGGGGAGTATTCCTTGGGTTGGCCAAGGTGACTTCCACACAGACTCTCTCGGGGACACATTCCGGACTAACCTTTACTTTCCCACTCCTAGATGTACGCCTTACTGGCTTTTCTCCATTCAGTCACAGGCTTGCCTCCCAGATCCTTGCAACGGGGTCTGCTTTGGGAGACTCCCCACTTAAACACCAGCCCCCTCCTTCCGGATCTGCCTCCCACAGAGAAAGCCCTGGAAAGATGCTGTTTCCGGTGTGTTTACAGTAAATCTGGTTCTGAGAAACATAATACTGTCGGGTGTAAAATGGATTCAACACAGGCAAAGTTGGAGACTGAGGCTGGCAAGGAAGGCATCACCCTCATCTTCCAGGAAGGAGCATGGGCAGGCTGGAGAGAGAAAGGTGATTGCTCCAGAGCCTTGCACAAAGACCTGTGTGTCGATCCTGTGTGTAACCTGTACCTAGAACACAGAGCTGACAGGAAAGCTAGTGTGGCCTATCCAAGTTCTTTGTCAAAGGAAACAAACCATAGCTGTATAAAGGCTGAAACTTCCCAAATGCTTGCCTGAGTGAGCTCTGCAGAGAACTGAAGAGGTACGGGCCAGCTACTTCCGGTCCAGGATTATGTTCTTTCAGACGTTGGATCCTCCGCCTGTCCTCTTTTTATTTTGCCTGTTGGTAGGGGCTCTTCCTTATGTCTTTGGGGATTTTTGTTTATTTGTTTGTTCATTTGTGTGTGAAGGGAAGGCTTGTGTGTGTGCATGTGTGTACGCTTGTTGAGCATGCTTATGTGTTTGCACTTGTGGAGGCCAGAAATTGATATTGACATATCTTTCTCACACTGCTTTATTTTTTTAAACAATTTGAAATATTTATTTTATTCTGTGTGTGTGTTTTACTTGCGTGTCTACATGTATATCTGTGCACTGTGTGCATGAGACATCAAATCCCCCGAAACTGCAGTTTGTGGGTGGTTGTGAGTCACCATGTGGGTGCTCAGAACAGAACCTGAGTCCTTTGCAAGAACAACACTGATTTTTGTTGGTTGGTTGGTTTTTTGTTTTTGTTCATTGTTGTTTTGTTGTTATTAGTTTTGTTTGTCTGTTTTGAGACAGGGTTTCTCTGTGGAGCCCTGGCTGTCCTGGAACTCACTCTGTAGACCAGATGGACCTCCAACTTGGAGATTCGTCTGCCTCTGCCTCCTGAGTGCTGAGAGTAAAGGCATGTGCCACCTCCACCAGACTAGACCAAGTGCTCTGGAGCCATCCGTCCAGCCCCGCCTTATTTCTTAGTCAGGGTCTCTCACTAAACTTGTTCTTTGTCGCTTTATCTAGACTGGCTGACCGCCAAAGTCCCTGGGATCCATCTGTTGCCAGTCCCTACCACTGAGCACACTTCCTAGGCTTTCCCTGGGTGCTGGAGATCCAAACTCAGGTCCCCATGCCTACCCAGCCCACCTCCAAGCCAGCTCACCAGTACCCACAGGGTTATATAGAAAGAACAGCAAACATTACTCCATGTCCAAGAATAAGTAAATGCTTAAGCAAAGGACAGTACTTCACCCAAACGTTGTGATGTCACTAAAACATACAGCTGGTAGGATCAACGGCTCCCTCCTGCTCTTAGGTGGAAAATGGACCAGAAAAGACCTTTAGGAGAATTCCAGGGCCCTCAATGTCTACCTTAGCCACAACTGAGCAAGAACAAGGGAGGGAACATCTGAACATCAGACAGCAATGGCCCTTTGGAGGGTTCGACTTCTCTCTCTCTCTCTCTCTCTCTCTCTCTCTCTCTCTCTCTCTCTCTTGTTTTTTAAGACTTATTTGCAGAGAAACCCTGTCTTGAAAACCTAAAAAATAAAAAATAAAAAAAATAAAGATTTACTTATTATGTATACAGTGTTCTGCCTGCATGTATGCTTACAGGCCAGAAGAGGGCACCAGATCTCATCACAGAGGGTTAATGAGCCACCACCATGTGGTTGTTGGGAATTGAACTCAGGACCTCTGGGAGAGGGACCAGTGCTCTTAACCATTGAGCTATCTCTCCAGCCCCCAGCCCCCATCCTTTTTTGAAACAAGGTTTCTCTGTGTTGTCCTGAAACTCTGTAGACCAGGCTGGCCTCAAACTCACAAATCTACCAGCCTCTGCCTCCCAGGTTCTGAGATTAAAGGCGTGTGCAACTACTGTCCAGCTTG